CCTAAGAAAATCAAAAGCACTCCCAGGATGTGCTCAAACTTCTGAGTGTGTGAAATAAGTACTGGCAAACATAAAAGATTGCTCTCTCATTTCATAAAAAGCTTTCTGAGTACATTATTTTTGCAATTTCTAATGGATTATCTAAGCCAGTTTTGCGTGTTTGCAGACACACAACCATTAGCACCAAAATTCCATCAGAAGACAAGAATTTATGCCTTGTGCGATTTCAGCATTTTTATGAATGAACCAAAGTTTAATAAAAAACATCACAGATGAAAAAAGCACTATTCCACTTTGGCTGATAGACCGGGAATCATATCTCAAACCTTTGGACAACATTGAACACCTTTCAAACCCTAACCTCCTTCACCCTAACTCTAGCAAGGGTGCGCAAACTTATCAGAATAGTGACTGCGGGTGCAGTCTTTCATTCAGATCATGCGGTTACAGATTTTCTTCCTCTAATCATCTCCTGGAGTATTATTTGCTAAAAAGCGCCCGATTAGTCAAGTCCAGGTGTGTAACTGCATGATTAGAATGAAATCCTGCACCCACAACTAGCTCATTATGGATAAACCGAATACCCTGTGATAAGCCGGTACCGCGTGCCCTGGCGTAACCCTCCTGAACCTGACCCTACCAAAACCAAAGCATAACTCCTAACTTTTATTTTGCAATCCCATCAACTCCTTACTGGAACGATTACCCATGTAACCCTAACATTCCATAACCTGGCCCAAAGCATAATGTTGTTGGTTCACAAAAATATTTCTCCCTCTAGTTATTATCTCTCAAAATAAAAATGAGTAGAGAAGGCAATCTTGTAGAGCCTCAATAATCCCCTCCTTTGCAATAACTTTGTCACGAAGACAGCTCATTGATGACTGACAAAAGCGGTTTCTTAAGGGGCTTGATTCTCGTGCTTGGTATGTCATGCAAGAGGCAGGCACATGATGTACAAGCTTGCTGGTGTGAGCAACCTCTGCGCCAAAATCAGCATTCTACTGACCCAGCGTGATTTGAACCCGCAAGCCTTCTGATCTGGAGTCGAATCGCTACCGTTGCCCACCGAGGTCAACGATGCTGTTGCTGTGGCTGCCTGTAGCATTTCACGCATTTTTTATGGAGATGACACGAAATTTAATGGCAAATATCAAAGATTGAAAATTAAAAAATCTTCTGTTTTGGCTGTTTAACTTCAAAATGCAATCATACGAGTTACAGCAGCTTTTGAAACACGGATAGCTAGTCGGTGAAACATCAGACTTTTTAATCTGAGGGTCAGGTTTCGAAATCCTGGGTTCAAGTCCCTGTTGAACGCAAGTGTGATTTCTACGGATGTTCGTAGCGCATAGTGAAACAAATTGTGTGCCAGGGTAGGTTTAGCTTCTCAATTCTACAGTCAAATCATTTCTAAAGTGCCTGTACTTCTGGCGGGAGAAATTCAGTACTCAGCTTGAAAAACATTGCTCTCCATTTCATGCAAAAAATAAATGTGGGGGAAGGTGAGTTCACAAGACAAATCAAAAAGTCACTCCATGTGGATGTGCTCAAACTTCTAGTGTGTGAAATAGAGTACTGTACTTGTCAAGATTGCTCTCTCATTTCATAAAAAAGCTTTCTGAGTACATTATTTTTGCAATTCTAATGGATTATCTAAGCCAGTTTCGTGGTTGCAGACACACAACCATTCGCACCAAAAGTCCATCAGAAGACAAATTTATGCCTTGTGTCTGATTTCAGCATTTTATGAATGAACCAAAGTTTAATGAAAAACATCACAGATGAAAAAAGCACTATTCCACTTTGGCTGATAGACCAGAATCCATATCTCAAACCTTTGGACAACATTGAACACCTTTCAAACCCTAACCTCCTTCACCCTAACTCTTAAAGGGTGCATAAACTTATCCAGAATGGTATTTCGTTTTGAAGTCTTTCATTCGAATCAATGCAGTTACAGATTTTCTTCCACTCTAATCATCTCCTGGGTATTTGCTAAAGCGCAGATTAATTCAAGTCAGGTATTGCCAACTGCATGATTAGGATGATCCACCCCAACACGCTTTCATTATGGATAGAAAGCGAGAGTACCCCTGCTTGATAGGCATTTACCGTGCCACAAAAGCGTAACCCTCCTGAACCTGACCCTACAAAAACCTAAGCATAACTCCCTAACTTTGGTTGCAATCCCATCAACTCCTTACTGGAACCCGATTACCCGTAACCTAACATTCCATAACCCTGGCCCAAAGCATAATGTTGTTTTGGTTTTCAAAATATTCTCCTCTAGTTATTATCTCAAAATAAAATAGGTGAAGCAATCTTGTAGAAGCCTCAATAATCCCCTCCCTTTGCAATAACTTTGTCACGAAGACAGCTCATTGGCCCTGACAAAGAGCGGTTTTCTTAAAGGGCTTGATTCTCATCGCTTGGTATGTCATGTTTAGAAAAGGGCACATGATGTACAAGCTTGCTGGTGTGACAGCCTCTGCTCAAAATCAGCAGTTTACTGACCCAGCGTGATTTGAACACGCGGCTTCTGATCTGGGTCAGGCACTACCGTTCGCCACTTTGGGGTCCCATGCCCATTTGGCTGTGGCTGCCTGTAGCATTTCACAGCATTTTTATGATTGACCACGAAATTTAATGGCAAATATCACAGATTAGAAGAATTAAAAAATCTTCTGTTTGGATGTTTAACCAAAATGCCAATCATACGAGTTAAAGCAGCTTTCGAATCCCGGATAGCTGAGTCATTAGAAACATCAGACTTTTAATCTGAGGGTCCAGGGTTCAAGTCCCTGTTCGGCCGAAGTGTGATTTTCATGGATGTTAGCCAGCGTGGTGAAACAAATTTAGTGCCAGGAGTAGGTTTAGCTTCTCAATTCTACAGTCAAATCATTTCTAAGTTACCTGTACTTCTGAGCGGGAGAATTAGTACTCAGCTTGAAAAACATTCCTCTCCATTTCATGCAATAAATAAATCGTGGGAAAGGTGAGTTCCACAAGACAAATCAAAAAGTCACTCCATGTGGATATGCTCAAACTTCTGAGTGTGTGAAATAAGTACTGTACTTGACAAAAGATTGCTCTCTCATTTCATAAAAAAGCTTTTCTAATTACATTATTTTGCAATTCTAATGGATTATCTAAGCCAGTTTTCGCGTGGTTGCAGACACACAACCATTAACGCACCAAAAGTCCATCAAGGCAAGAATTTATGCCTTGCGATTTCAGCATTTTATGAATGGACCAAGGTTTAATGAAAAACATCACAGATGAAAAAAACACTATTCCACTTTGGCTATTAGACCAGAATCCATATCTCAAACCTTTGGCCAACATTAAACACCTTTCAAACCCTAACCTCCTTCACCCTAACTCTAGCCCAGCGGTATGCAAACTTATCAAGAATGAGTGACTGCGGGTGCAGTCTTTCATTCAGAATCGATTACCAGATTTTCTTCCTCTAATCATCTCCTGGAGTATTTGCTAAAAAGCAGCGGATTAGTCAAGTCAGGTGTGTAACTGCATGATTGGGATGAAATCCTACACCCAACAGCTCATTCTGGATAAGCAATTACCCCCTGCTTGATAGGCAGTACCGCGATGGCAAAGCGTAACCCTCCTGAACCTGACCCTGCAAAACCCTAAACATAACTCCCAAAGTTTAGTTGCAATCATCAACACCTTACTGGAACCCGATTACCCGTAACCCTAACATTCCATAACCCTGGCCCAAAGCATGATGTTGGTTCACAAAATATTCTCCTCTTGTTATTATCTCAAAATAAAATGAGTAGAAGGCAATCTATTAGGCCTCAATAATCCCCCTCCTTTGCAAAAAACTTTGTCGCGGAGACAGCTCATTCACTGACAAGGGACGGTTTTCTTAAAAGGGGCTTGATTCCTATTGCTTGGTATGTCATGCTTAGAAAAGAGGCACATGATGTACAAGCTTGCTGGTGTGACAGCCCTCTGCTCAAAATTAGCATTCTACTGACCCGGCGTGATTTGAACCGCCAACCTTCTGATCTGAAGTCAGGCGTGCTACCGTTAGCCCACGAGGGTGCCACCCCAGGCCATTTAGCTGTGGCTGCCTGCAGCACATTTCACAGCATTTTTTATGATTGACACGAAATTTAATGGCAAATATCACAGATTAGAAGAATTAAAAAAATCTTCTGTTTTGGATGTTTAACCAAAATGCCAATCATACGAATTACAGCAGCTTTGAAGCCCGGATAGCTCAGTCGGTTGAGCATCAGACTTTTTAATCTGAGGGTCCAGGGCTCAAGTCCCTGTTCGGGCGAGTGTGATTTTTCAAGATGTTCGCGCGAATAGTGAAACAAATTGAGTGCCAGAAGTAGGTTTAGCTTCTCAATTCTACAGTCAAATCATTTCTAAGTGCCTGTACTTTGGCGGGAGAAATTGAGTACTCAGCTTGAAAAACACTGCTCTCCCATTTCATGCAAAAAAAAAAATAAATGCGTGGGAAAGGTAGGTTCCACAAGACAAATCAAAAGTCACTGCATGTGGATGTGCTCAAACTTCTGAGTGTGTGAAATAGAGTACTGTACTTGTCAAAGATTGCTCTCTCATTTCATAAAAAAGCTTTCTGAGTTCATTATTTTGCAATTCTAATTGGATTATCTAAGCCAGTTTGCGTGGTTTGCAGACACACAACCATTCAGCACCAAAGTCCATCAGAAGACAAGAATTTATGCCTTGTGCGATTTCAGCATTTTTATGAATAGACAAGTTTAATGAAAAACATCACAGATGAAAAAAAGCACTATTCCACTTTGGCTGATAGACGAGAATCCATATCTCAAACCTTTTGGCCAACATTAAACACCTTTTAAAGCTTAACCTCCTTCACCTAACTCTAGCCCAAAGAGTGTAAACTTATCCAGAATAGTGACTGCGGGTGCAGTCTTTCATTCAGATCATGCAGTTACAGATTTTCTTCCTCTAATCATCTCCTGGAGTATTTGCTAAAACGCGGATTAGTCAAGTCAGGTGTGTAACTGCATGATTGGGATGAAATCCTGCACCCACAGCAGCTCATTCTGGATAAAATACCCTGCTTGATAAGCGTACCGCGTGGCATAAGCGTAACCCTCCTGAACCTGACCCTACCAAAACCCTAAAACATAACTCCAAACTTTGGTTGCAATCCCATCAACACCTTACTGGAACCCGATTACCCGTAACCTAACATTCCATAACCCTGGCCCCAAAGCATAATGTTGTTGGTTCACAAAATATTCTCCTCTTGTTATTATCACAAAAAAAAAATGAAGAGAAGGCAATCTTGTTAGACTCAATAATCCCACTCCCTTTTGCAATAACTTTATGCATAAAGACAGCTCATTCACTGACAAGGACGGTTTCTTAAAGGGGCTTGATTCTCATTGCTTGGTATGTCATGCTTAGAATGAGGCACATGATGTACAAGCTTGCTGGTGTGACAGCCTCTGCTCAAAATCAGCATTCTACTGACCCGGCATTGATTTGACCACGCAACCTTCTGATCTGGAGTCAGACGCGCTACCGTTGCGCCAGGAGCTCCCACGTGCCCATTCAGCTGTGGCTGCCTGTATCATTTCACAGTATTTTTATGATTGACACGAAATTTAATGGCAATATCACAGATTAGAAGAATTAAAAAATCTTCTGTTTGGATGTTTAACCAAAATGCCAATCATCTGAGTCACAGCAACTTTTGAAGCCGGATAGCTCAGTCGGTAGAGCATCAGACTTTTAATCTGAGGGGTCCGGGGTTCAAGTCCCTGTTCGGGCAAAGTGTGATTTTCACGGATGTTCGCGCATAGTGAAACAAATTGAGTGCCAGGGTAGGTTTAGCTTCTCAATTCTACAGTCAAATCATTTCCTAAGTGCCTGTACTTCTGAGCGGGAGAAATTGAGTACTCAGCTTGAAAAACATTCCTCTCCCATTTCATGCAAAAAATAATCGTGGGAAAGGTGGAGTTCCACAAGACAAATCAAAAGTCACTCCCATGTGGATGTGCTCAAACTTCTGAGTGTGTGAAATAGAGTACTGTACTTGTCAAAGATTGCTCTCTCATTTCATAAAAAGCTTTCTGAGTTCATTATTTTGCAATTCTAATGGATTATCTAAGCCAGTTTGCGTAGTTTGCAGACACACAACCATTGCGCACCAAAGTCCATCAGAAGGCAAGAATTTATGCCTTGGCCGATTTCAGCATTTTTATGAATGAACCAAAGTTTAATGAAAAAACATCACAGATGAAAAAAGCACTATTCCACTTTGGCTGATAAACCAGAATTCATATCTCAAACCTTTGGCCAACATTAAACACCTTTCAAACCTAACCTCCTTCACCGTAACTCTAGCCCAAGGGCATGCAAACTTATCCAGAATGAGTGACTGCGGGTGCAGTCTTTCATTCAGATCATGCAGTTACAGATTTTCTTCCTCTAATCATCTCCTGGAGTATTTGCTAAAGACGCGGATTAGTCAAGTCAGGTGTGTAACTGCATGATTGGGATGAAATCCTGCACCCACAGCAGCTCATTCTGGATAGAGCGAGTACCCCTGCTTGATAGAGCGAGTACACGTGGCATAAGCGTAACCCTCCTGAACCTGACCCTACCAAAACCCTAAACATAACTCCAAACTTTAGTTGCAATCCCATCAACACCTTACTGGAACCCGATTACCCGTAACCCTAACATTCCATAACCCTGGCCCAAAGCATGATGTTGTTGGTTCACAAAATATTCTCCTCTTGTTATTATCTCAAAATAAAATGAGTAGAAGGCAATCTTGTGAGGCCTCAATAATCCCCTCCTTTGCAATAACTTTGTCGCAAAGACAGCTCATTCACTGACAAGGGCGGTTTCTTAAAGGGCTTGATTCTCATTGCTTGGTATGTCATGCTTAGAAAAGAGGCACATGATGTACAAGCTTGCTGGTGTGACAGCCTCTGCTCAAAAATCAGCATTCTACTGACCCCGACGTGATTTGAACACGCAACATTCTGATCTGGAGTCAGATGCTACCGTTTGCGCCCACGAGGTCCCACGTGCCCATTTAGCTGTGGCTGCCTGTAGCATTTCACAGCATTTTTATGATTGACACGAAATTTAATGGCAAATATCACAGATTAGAAGAATTAAAATCTTCTGTTTTTGGGAGTCACGTGGCGTCTCACGGCAATGCGGACGTGAAGTTTCGAACTTCGCTCAAGATTCACCCCAAAAATTAAAAACTCATAATACTTTCACTTTTTCTTTTTTCTTCTTTTACCCAAGCTACAATGACTACCGCGCCCAACTAAAAAGTAGTTACAAAGAGAACTGGAAATGTCGCCAGCCAAGAAAAAATCCAGAAAACAACGATCTCCAGAGGCGACCTTGATGCGGCCATTTTAAGTGGAATCAGCCAGGCACTCAGGAACAACAATCTAATTTTTGATGCTTGGTTGCCCAGGCTTTAAAAAGAAACTTTGGAATCTGTTCTCATGCCACAGCTTGATTTATTGAAAGGCGAGATTTCGTCTGCTATTGAGGCTACTCGGAAATTAACGATGGATTTGGAACAGCACGCTAGGCAAGCACAGAGAACCCAAGCCACTGGATTCTGTCCAAGCGGCAGTTCGGTCGAACAAACATGACCTTAATGATCTGTCCAATAGACTGTCCACTTTGCAAAATAGTCTGATTGAAATTCAGGACAGAAGCCGAAGAAATAATCTCCGGCTAATCAATCTACCTGAATCAGTTGAGGGTTCGATCCTGTGGGCTATCTGCAGGCTAATCTTCCCAAGTGGATACCGTCCTTGGCGGGCCGCCTTGTCGAGATTGATCGTTGCCATCGCATATACGATGGCAGGCCCAATGGCAGCACCAAAAGCCCGCGCGACACCGTTATTTTTCGTTTGCTAAGATATTGGGACAGACAAGCTATTCTGAGAGCGCGCAAAGCTCACCGATTAAGCATGGTCAGGCCATTCTCTACTTTTTTCCGGACTATAGTCCCCTACTGCTGCCAAAGCGAAGAGGATTCGCTCCGGTGATTAAAAAGTTTGCGCCGCTGGTCTTGCCCTTCCTCATCTATCCTGCTATTCTCAAAGTGGAACACCGAGGTTCTCAACTGACTTTCGATTCCCGGACGACGCAGAGGCCTTCTTGCGGTCCCTGGACATGGGTTTGTCGGAAGGACTGTCATCTGTGGCCCATTCCTCTTCTGCTGGGACCCAGGGTCCCGAGGTGATCGTGCCCTCTGCACCTGTGCCACTCATGGACGTGTAGCCTGTGAATGCATATACTAACCCTGTTATGACGGATCATTATGGAGAAGCTGTGGCTATAGCAATTTTGTATTGTATCGGGTGGATTTCTGTTACTGGTAGCTTTGAGTCATATGATTTTATTAGCGTTGGGTTAAATTTACCTGGGTTAGACGGGGAGAACGCTTTTGGGCTGATGACGGACTTTATTTGCATATTGTTAGGTTGAAAAAAAGAATTGGGTAATCGTTTAGTTGGATTTGCTTTCATACTTGCATTATGGGGTGTCTTGTGGCGAATCGTATGGTCACCTTGCGTTGCTGTTGATAATGCCACGGACCTACACGGTTTTTGTTTATAAAAGCCTGTAGGAGTAAATTTAGTCCTCATGACTTGCAACTATTTGTATATAGTTTTCCAATTCCTCTCCCTATTTTCTTACCTTGGCAAAGCGGCTTTATTTTTGGTTGATAACTTATATAAAGGGTATCACGGGCAGCGAAGGATAATATGAATGTTCCATATACAGTTTACTTTACCACGATTAAGAGTAGGGACCGAACCTTTTTAGGTACGTCTCTCTTGTATGGCACACTTAGTTTATTGTATGATGGGTGATCTCTCCGTAATTTCGTGGAATGTAAATGGGTTAAATTCACCAATTAAAAGAACAAGATGCCTGGAATTTCTTCACCGCAAAAATGTATCTCTGGCCATTATACAAGAGACACATTTAAAAAAATTCTGATGTTCCTCGCTTTCAAAATAGGCGATATAAAATTATTTCATATTCTTGCGCTCTAACAAAACGAAGGGTGTACTGATTTTGGCGAAAAGGAACCTCCCAATAATTGTCCATCACACTTTTAGTGATGATCAGGGCCGTTTTACTTTAGCCGACGTTACTATTTACCAGGTCAAGTTAGTATTAGCTTCGGTTTATGCTCCCAATAACTATGATCCTAACTTCCTACCTGTGATTCGTGACAAATTACTAGGATGCCAGAACCTAATCTTCTGATTGGGGGTGATTTTAATTGTGCTATCAATGATATAGATCGGACTTCCCCTATCACGGATGTACAACCCTGTTTGGCTCTCAAAAAACTTTATCTCGGACCTAAATCTTATTGATATCTGGCGATTCAATATTCGAGAGTAGCAGAAACTACACTTTCTTTTTCTAATCGACACAGATCATTTTTCTCGAATTGATTTCATTTTTTAAGTCAATCTCTGGTCTATTTAGCTCAGTGTAATATTCTGCCAATTCTATTATCGGATCACGCTCCTGTCCTGTGCTCGATACACCTTCAACATCTGCCTAAAAAAAGGCTATTAGATGGCGTTTTAATAATTCTTTATTGTTGGATAATGGATTTGTTTCACAACTGCATGAAAACTGGCAGAATTTATTGAGATAAATAAGAGCCATTGTAATGATCCACAGATTCTATGGGAAACCACCAAATGTTTTATAAGGGCTTTTGCATCTTTTTTCTCATCTCACTTGAATAACACAAAAAAAAAAAGATTTGAAGAACTTGAATTAAAAATTGGACTCTTGGACTCAGAACAAAGACAAAATCCAACTGAATTTAGAGCCAATTTACTTTCAGACTTGCGATCTGAGTATAAAAGATTAAGTCTCTCCAAGGCTGAGTTTATATTGCATCGTACCAGGCAAAACTACTATGCGAAGGAGGCGTCAGGCCGTCTGCTTGCTTTTAAAGTTGAGAGAAAATGAATCCAAAGCCAATATATACGCCATTAGAGACTCAAAAGGTCTGGTCAGTTCTGATCCTTCCATTGTTAATGAGATTTTCAAGATGTATTATTCTGATTTGTATACTTCAGAAGTTAGTTGGGATCACTCGCGAGGTAAAGCTTTTTTGATAAACTTGATCTACCAAAACTCACTCCTGATGAAGCTGAACAATTGGAATCACCCCTTACATTGGAGGAACTGAGCGATGCACTCAGATCTCTAAACAAAGGCAAATCCCCGGGTCTAGATGGCCTACCACCAGAACTGCTACTTTTGGTTTGGGACAAAGTTGGACCGCTTCTCTTTAAATCACTGAATTACGGACTTGAGAATGGTTGTTTTCATAGAGATCAAAATAGTGCACTTATTTCTCTGTTATTAAAAGAAAGGAAAGGACCCTCTGGAATGTGATAGCTTCAGACCTATATCCTTAATTTGTTGTGACGTGAAAAACTTTTTTCGCCAAGGTGCTTTGCGCACAGAGTGGAGAGGTATGTAGGCAAGTTAATAAACTATGACCAGACCGGTTTTATTAGAGGGCGCACAGCATCAGATAATATACGCAGACTTTTACACATTTTAAACTTTGCAGGGACTTCCCCTGACCCTATTGCTTTCTTTGCTCTCGATGCAATGAAAGCCTTTGATAAACTTGAGTGGGAATACATGTGGGCTGTTCTTGCAAATTTTGGTTTTAGCCTCAAATTTATAGCTATGATCAAGACTTTATACAGTTCACCTACTGCATGTGTAATGACCGTTTTAAGATCTCATCCTTTTAAATTAGAGAGAGGCACTCGTCAAGGGTGTCCTCTTTCCCCTATTCTTTTCTGCTTATGCCTTGAACCTTTAGCACAAATGATCAGACAAAATGAATCTATATATCCTGTGACATTGTATGGGAAGGACCATCATATATCTTTATTTGCTGATGATATACTTTTGTATTTATCGAAAATAGAATCTTCAGTTCCCCATGTTTTAAAGCTATTTGACAAATTTGGCCATTTATCAGGTTATAAAATTAATTGGAATAAATCTATTTTGATGCCACTCAACAGTCCTGCACAATCTAGTAATATTCCCTCATCAGTCCCTATTAAAGATTCTTTCACCTATCTAGGTATCCATATACTTGCAAACGAATACAAGGATTGTGAAAGAAAATTTTGTCAAGTTTTTACAAAATATCGTTCTGATATTCAAAGATGGAATGTATTACAATTATCTCTTCAAGCCAGAGTCAATATTGTGAAAATGAATATCCTACCCGAATTAACTTCTTATTTTTCATGATTCCTTTATCACCCCCGCTCAATTACTGTAAGGACATTCATTCATTGATATCTAAATTCATTTGGAATGGTAAGCGTCCAAGAATAAAGCTAGCTACCTTACAGTTTAAACCAAATCACTCGGTGGTCTTTCCTTACCGAATTTCCAATTCTACCATTGGGCATTTCAGATAAGAGCTCTGTATACCTGGTTGGATTTACAGTCCAAAGTACCTTGGAGATGTATTGAAGATGCAATTGTAAAGCCCCATAGACTGCAAGATCTTCTTTTCTCTGGTCTTGGTCGGACTGGTCATAATCTGAAAATAGGTGGTATAATACTAAACTCCTAAATATTTGGAAACAGACGGAAAAATACATAGGTGGACCATTCAAAATTAATGCACAAGCTCCTCTCTGGCATAATTTTAAATTTCTGATTGGTGGCAAGCCGTTCCACAGTCCATTGTGGTCCTCTCTGGGCATCAATACAGTTGGAGATATGTATGATGATCATGGTTTCTGTTCATTTCAGAATCTTCAAAATTTATTCAATTTGCCGGCATCCTCATATTTTGTCTATCTACAACTACACTCTGCTCTCAGAGCATACGATTGTGCCGTGGGACTGTCCGCCAGTGGTCCACCCAATGCTTGAGTGGGTCAAACCTTGTGAAAATCTGCGAGGTAGAGTCTCTTACATTTATAAAGCTCTTTTAAATAATTCTGCTCCGGCTTTGTCTATCGAAAAATTATGGGATAGGGAACTTTCCTCATTTAATCATGATCTGGATTGGGACACAGTTTGGTTCAATTTATCACATACTTCCAAAAATTTGGCTCACCAGCTGATTCATTATAAAACCATCCACAGGCGTAGGCAACTCCGTATAGGAAATTTCGGATGAATAGGATTCCCAGTTACAATTGTAATATCTGTAATGCTTCCTCTGGTATATTCATTCATATGTTCTGGGAGTGCCCCAAAATTGCAGATCTGTGGACCTTGGTTGTGAATGAATTATCTAAATTGATTAGCATTACTGTTCCAAAAACACCACACCTGTGTTTATTAAATGATGACTCTGGTCTTGGATATAGTATGATCCAACGGAAAATGTTGATGGCAGGTTTCACGGCCTCTAAGAAAGTCATTTTTACAACTATGGATCAGTCCTGAGATATTACCTCAGAAGTTCTGGATAAGCTATTTGGATGACATTGTGAATATGGAATACAGTACTGCCAGATTTAATAAGGCTAAATTGCCTACTTTGAGAATGTGGGAATCTCTTTTGTGTAAGATTCATGATCTTGACAGTCTCCTGTAGGATGAATTGTTTTTGCTGGGGTTTTTTTTTTTTTTTTTTTTTTTTAATAATTCATTTATCTTTCCCTTTTGAATACAGCCACGTGTATATTTTTTACTATTTGGAGTTAATTTTGTATGTGTTATGTATGTATCTGTATATGTATGATGCCTCGCTGCTTTAATATACCCTGGAATGGGATAGTAAGCATGTAAATGTTCAGAACGATATTTTATTTGTAACCGTTTGCCACCTCCCCCCCCCCTCCCCTTTTTTTTTTTTTTTTTTCTCTTCTTTGAAAACCAATAAAATGTTGATCAAAAAAAAAAAAAAAAATCTTCTGTTTTGGCTGTTTAACCAAAATGCCAATCATACGAGTTACAGCAGCTTTTGAAACCCGGATAGCTCAATTGGTAGAGCATCAGACTTTTAATCTGAGGGTCCAGGATTCAAGTCCCTGTTGGGCGAGTGTGATTTTCACGCGGATGTTCAGCGCATAGTGAAACAAATTGAGTGCCAGGAGTAGGTTTAGCTTCTCAATTCTACAGTCAAATCATTTCTAAGTGCCTGTACTTCTGAGCGGGAGAAATTGAGTACTCAGCTTGAAAAACATTGCTCTCCCATTTCATGCAAAAAAATAAATGCGTGGGAAAGGTGAGTTCCACAAGACAAATCAAAAGTCACTCCATGTGGATGTGCTCAAACTTCTGAGTGTGTGAAATAGAGTACTGTACTTGTCAAAGATTGCTCTCTCATTTCATAAAAAAAAGCTTTGAGTTACATTATTTTGCAATTCTAATGGATTATCTAAGCCAGTTTGCGTGGTTTGCAGACACACAACCATTCTTTTAAAGTCCATCAGAAGACAAGAATTTATGCCTTGAGCGATTTCAGCATTTTTATGAATGAACCAAAGTTTAATGAAAAAACATCACAGATGAAAAAAAAGCACTATTCCACTTTTGGCTGATAGACCAGAATTCCATATCTCAAACCTTTGGCCAACATTGAACACCTTTCAAACCCTAACCTCCTTCACCTAACTCTAGCCCCAGGGTGCGCAAACTTATCAGAATGAGTGACTGCGGTGCAGTCTTTCATTCAGATCATGCAGTTACAGATTTTCTTCCTCTAATCATCTCCTGGAGTATTTGCTAAAGACGCGGATTAGTCAAGTCAGGTGTGTAACTGCATGATTGGGATGAAATCCTGCACCCACAGCAGCTCATTCTGGATAGAGCGCAATGCCCCCTGCTTGATAGAGCGAGTACACGTGGCATAAGCGTAACCCTCCTGAACCTGACCCTACCAAAACCCTAAACATAACTCCAAACTTTAGATGCAATCCCATCAACACCTTACTGGAACCCGATTACCCGTAACCCTAACATTCCATAACCCTGGCCCCAAAGCATAATGTTGTTGGTTCACAAAATATTCTCCTCTTGTTATTATCTCAAAATAAAATGAGTAGAAGGCAATCTTTTAGGCCTCAATAAACCCACTCCTTTGCAATAACTTTTGTCGCAAAGACAGCTCATTCACTGACAAGGACGGTTTCTTAAAGGGGCTTGATTCTCATTGCTTGGTATGTCATGCTTAGAAAGAGGCACATGATGTACAAGCTTGCTGGTGTGACAGCCTCTGCTCAAAATCAGCATTCTACTAACCCGGCGTGATTTGAACCCAACCTCCTGATCTGGAGTCAGATGCGCTACTACCGTTGCGCCATGAGGTCCCACGTGCCCATTTAGCTGTGGCTGCCTGTAGCATTTCACAGCATTTTTATGATTGACCACGAAATTTAATGGCAAATATCACAGATTAGAAGAATTAAAAATCTTCTGTTTTGGCTGTTTAAGCAAAATGCCAATCATACGAGTTACAGCAGCTTTTGAAGCCCGGATAGCTCAGTCGGTAGAGCATCAAACTTTTTAATCTGAGGGTCCAGGGTTCAAGTCCCTGTTTGGTGAGTGTGATTTTCACGGATGTTCAAGCATAGTGAAACAAATTTTTGTGCCAGGAGTAGGTTTAGCTTCTCAATTCTACAGTCAAATCATTTCTAAGTGCCTGTATTTCTGAGCGGGAGAAATTCAGTACTCAGCTTGAAAAACATTGCTCTCCCATTTCATGCAAAAAATAAATGCGTGGGAAAGGTGAGTTCCACAAGACAAATCAAAAAGTCACTCCATGTGGATGTGCTCAAACTTCTGAGTGTGTGAAATAGAGTACTGTACTTGTCAAAGATTTGCTCTCTCATTTCATAAAAAGCTTTTTCTGAGTTCATTATTTTGCAATTCTAATGGATTATCTAAGCCAGTTTGCGTAGTTTGCAGACACACAACCATTGCTAATTGTAAAGTCCATCAGAAGGCAAGAATTTATGCCTTGTGCGATTTCAACATTTTTATGAATGAACCAAAGTTTAATGAAAAACATCACAGATGAAAAAGCACTATTCCACTTTTGGCTGATAGACCAGAATCCATATCTCAAACCTTTGGCCAACATTAAACACCTTTCAAACCTAACCTCCTTCACCCTAACTCTAGCCCAGCGGTATGCAAACTTATCCAGAATGAGTGACTGCGGGTGCAGTCTTTCATTCAGATCATGCAGTTACAGATTTTCTTCCTCTAATCATCTCCTGGAGTATTTGCTAAAGACACGGATTAGTCAAGTCAGGTGTGTAACTGCATGATTGGGTTGAAATCCTGCACCCACAGCAGCTCATTCTGGATAGAGCGAGTACCCCTGCTTGATAGAGCGAGTACACGTGCCACAAGCGTAAGCCTCCTGAACCTGACCCTACCAAAACCCTAAACATAACTCCAAACTTTAGATGCAATCCCATCAACTCCTTACTGGAACTCGATTACCCGTAACCCTAACATTCCATAACCCTGGCCAAAGCATAATGTTGTTGGTTCACAAAATATTCTCCTCTTGTTATTATCTCAAAATAAAATGAGTAGAAGGCACTCTTGTAGGCCTCAATAATCCCACTCCTTTGCAATAACTTTGTCGCAAAAGACAGCTCATTCACTGACAAGGACGGTTTCTTAAAGGGGCTTGATTCTCATTGCTTGGTATGTCATGCTTAGAAAGAGGCACATGATGTACAAGCTTGCTGGTGTGACAGCCTCTGCTCAAAATCAGCATTCTACTGACCCCGGCGTGATTTGAACACGCAACCTTCTGATCTGGAGTCAGACGCTACCGTTGCCCACGAGGTCCCACTCTGCCCATTTAGCTGTGGCTGCCTGTAGCATTTCACAGCATTTTTATGATTGACACGAAATTTAATGGCAAATATCACAGATTAGAATAATTAAAAAATCTTCTGTTTTGGCTGTTTAACCAAAATGCCAATCATACGAGTTACAGCAGCTTTTGAAGCCCGGATAGCTCAGTCGGTAGAGCATCAGACTTTTAATCTGAGGGTCCAGGGTTCAAGTCCCTGTTCAGGCAAGTGTGATTTTCATGGATGTTCGCGCGCGTAGTGAAACAAATTGAGTGCCAGAAGTAGGTTTAGCTTCTCAATTCTACAGTCAAATCATTTCTAAGTGCCTGTACTTCTGAGCGGAGAAATTGAGTACTCAGCTTGAAAAACATTGCTCTCCCATTTCATGCAAAAAAATAAATGCGTGGGAAAGGTGAGTTCCACAAGACAAATCAAAAGTCACTCCATGTGGATGTGCTCAAACTTCTGAGTGTGTGAAATAGAGTACTGTACTTGTCAAAGATTGCTCTCTCATTTCATAAAAAAGCTTTCTGAGTACATTATTTTGCAATTCTAATGGATTATCTAAGCCAGTTTCGTAGTTTGCAGACACACAACCATTGCGCACAAAGTCCATCAGAAGGCAAAAAATTTATGCCTTGTGCGATTTCAGCATTTTTATGAATGAACCAAAGTTTAATGAAAAACATCACAGATGAAACAAAGCACTATTCCACTTTGGCTGATAGACCAGAATTCATATCTCAAACCTTTGGCCAACATTGAACACCTTTTAAACCTAACCTCCTTCACCCTAACTCTAGCCCCAGGGTGCGCAAACTTATCCAGAATGAGTGACTGCGGGTGCAGTCTTTCATTCAGATCATGCAGTTACAGATTTTCTTCCTCTAATCATCTCCTGGAGTATTTGCTAAAGGCGCGGATTAGTCAAGTCGGTGTGTAACTGCATGATTGGGATGAAATCCTGCACCCACAGCAGCTCATTCTGGATAGAGCGAAAGTACCCCTGCTTGATAGAGCGAGTACCGTGCCATAAGCGTAACCCTCCTGAACCTGACCCTACTAAAACCCTAAACGTAACTCCAAACTTTAGTTGCAATCCCATCAACTCCTTTACTGGAACCCGATTACCCGTAACCCTAACATTCCATAACCTTGGCCCAAAGCATAATGTTGTTGGTTCACAAAATATTCTCCTCTTGTTATTATCTCAAAATAAAATGAGTAGAAGGCAATCTTAGGCCTCAATAATCCCACTCATGGCAATAACTTTTTGTCATAAAAGACAGCTCATTCACTGACATGGACGGTTTCTTAAAGGGGCTTGATTCTCATTGCTTGGTATGTCATGCTTAGAAAGAGGCACATGATGTACAAGCTTGCTGGTGTGACAGCCTCTGCTCAAAATCAGCATTCTACTGACCCGGCGTGATTTGAACACGAAACCTTCTGATCTGGAGTCAGACGCTACCGTTGCGCCCACGAGGTCCCACGTGCCCCATTTAGCTGTGGCTGCCTGTAGCATTTCACAGCATTTTTATGATTGACACGTAAATTTAATGGCAAATATCACAGATTAGAAGAATTAAAAATCTTCTGTTTTGGATGTTTAACCAAAATGCCAATCATATTTAATTACAGCAGCTTTTGAAGCCCGGATAGCTCAGTCGGTAGAGCATCAGACTTTTAATCTGAGGGTCCATGGTTCAAGTCCCTGTTCGGGTGAGTGTGATTTTCACGGATGTTCGCGCGCATTGTGAAACAAATTGAGTGCCAGGGGTAGGTTTAGCTTCTCCATTCTACAGTCAAATCATTTCTAAGTGCCT